GCCGTGCGACCTCTACTACTGTAAGGTCGCACCACTTTTAACTTACGAACATGTTGGAAAACCCGCTGAGCATCGTACGCATGTTCGTACGATAAAAGCCGGACGGGCCGGTGTGCGCAAGCGCACACTGCCCGCTCAGCATTGCGGTCATCGGAAGCCCGCCCCTCAGGGGGGTGCGGCTTGCGATCATCGCAAGTACGATCTGCCTGTCCAAGATGGGCAGATCGTACGTTTTTTTAAGTACCTTACAACCATCGCAAGACAAAAGTCTTGCGATGGTTGTAAGGTGTGTGCCCAGCATAACAGATGCTGTGGATTGGAGCAACATTCACCATATTTATTCCCAGATAATTTTTCCTACAAGTCATTCTGAATTGAGAAAGCTGGTCGGACGACCAGTGAAACGTCTGCAAGAAAAATACAGCAAGTCCAGCTGCCTTGACTTGTTACAGATATAGTAGTGAGAGTGTTTCATATAAAGAAAAATTCTCTCCATCTGTCTATGAATAAATATAAATCGTTCCGTGACAGACTTCATGTAAATTTGTTCCCAGAAGATGTCCGGACTATAATTTGTGTCACGCCCAAATGAGCGGATCATCCCAAACACTGGAACGCATTTTTCCAAGTTTTAATTCCAGATAGTGGACACAACGGTGGACACCGCCTGCAAGTCAACATTTTTTCTCCTTGCAGATTGCACTGGCCCGGATCGCAGGCACTAATTATTATTGTAAAGGATTTATATGGCGCCAACAGTTTGCGCAGCACTTTACAATATAAGGAAGACATTACAATCACAATACAATTCAAGACAAGATGGTAAGGAGGGCCCTGCCCCTGAGGGCTTACAATCTAAAAGGGAGGGGCCAGTGATACATGAGGAGGTAGCTGTGTGGGGATGAATTGTTTGAGTGTGCCACATGTACTTTAATGTGCCACGCATACGGTTGCCGGCGATCTTACCGAGTTCAATGCACCACCACGCCCCCTCAGAAAAACTGAGCTGGCCAGGTTGCGTTACAGAGGGCGAACGCACTGGAACGCACTCCTGATGGTGTGACAAGGCCCTTAAAGTGAGACTACACTCAGGAGTTAAATCTTTAAAATAATCAAGTACTTCAAATATTAACAACAATGTATCTTATTTGTGTATCACTCGGCTGTAGATCCTCAAATCATCTCTGAATTGGTGCTGACACTGTCCTTCCTTCTGGAGGGTGGCTACTTTTGTTCCCCATGGTCCCTGTGTGTGTTGTAAAGTAGTCACCGCTCCAAGCTCGCTCCTGTGATGGACTACAATCTCATGTTTAGTTTACTAGTTTGTAATTTTGTAACTAGTTTGAGATTGTAGTCCATCACAGGAGCGAGCTTGGAGCGGTGACTACTTTACAACACACACAGGGACCATGGGGAACAAAAGTAGCCACCCTCCAGAAGGAAGGACAGTGTCAGCACCAATTCAGAGATGATTTGAGGATCTACAGCTGAGTGATACACAAATAAGATACATTGGGAGGGGGGGGATTTATCAAAACTGCAGCAGGCAGAATCGGAAGCAGTTGCCCATGGCAATCAATCAGCATCTCTCCTCAGGTTGCTCAGGTAAGATTTGAAAATGAGACAGAGAAACTGATTGGCTGCCGTGCAAATCTGCTCCAGATTTTGTCTGTTCCAGTTTTGATAAATTCCCCCCATTGTTGTTAATAGTTCAGGTACCTGAATGTAACTCCGAGATATAACTCGGGAGTGTTGTGTCACTTTATCTGGAGAGGGAAGAATTTCCATAATGCCGGTGTATAGAGGAACCGGCGGGATCCTGCGTGTGGAACTGCTGAGAGCGTGCCAGACCGCACCGAGGTGCCCTTGATGTGTCATGTGACCCTCACATTCCATACAACATTCAACTACACGGGCATCAGGCACAACCCCGCCCCCCCTCCACACATCACCAATAGAAGATATATTTGTTCCTCCCGAAGAAGAATTTTAGACCCTAGACCAAAACGAGTACTTAACCCTAGCAGTGCCGGGGCAGCCCCACTGCAGAGGATTTCTTCTGCCCGGAGGTCTTCTTTAACTACCTCCGGGCCGGCCGTAGTAAAAAAACGGCCGGCCCGAGCTCTCTAGATCTGAGCGGGCGTCTTTAGACGTCCGCTCTGACACGCCCCCCCGGTACAGAGTTGCATGACGGAATAAACGTCAGTCAAAGTACTGCAGCGCTGAATACTGAAAAATGGCCTGGCCAGGAAGGGGGTCTAAACACCTGGTCTTGAAGTGGTTAACTACTGTCCCAATGTAACACTTCCGGGTATTTATTACCTCTCACACAGTGCTCCCCCTGACAATGCCTTCCATCTGCTTTTCTCTCTAGAAGGTCGGAGCCATCTTTGTTCAGTCATCACCCAGGGTCACCTCCCCAATTCTTCATCACTACTGCACTCCTCCTCCCCAATTCTTCATCATTACTGCACTCCGCCTCCCCAATTCTTCATCATTACTGCACTCCGCCTCCCCAATTCTTCATCATTACTGCACTCCGCCTCCCCAATTCTTCATCATTACTGCACTCCGCCTCCCCAATTCTTCATCATTACTGCACTCCGCCTCCCCAATTCTTCATCATTACTGCACTCCGCCTCCCCAATTCTTCATCATTACTGCACTCCGCCTCCCCAATTCTTCATCATTACTGCACTCCGCCTCCCCAATTCTTCATCATTACTGCACTCCGCCTCCCCAATTCTTCATCATTACTGCACTCCGCCTCCCCAATTCTTCATCATTACTGCACTCCGCCTCCCCAATTCTTCATCATTACTGCACTCCGCCTCCCCAATTCTTCATCATTACTGCACTCCGCCTCCCCAATTCTTCATCATTACTGCACTCCGCCTCCCCAATTCTTCATCATTACTGCACTCCGCCTCCCCAATTCTTCATCATTACTGCACTCCGCCTCCCCAATTCTTCATCATTACTGCACTCCGCCTCCCCAATTCTTCATCATTACTGCACTCCGCCTCCCCAATTCTTCATCATTACTGCACTCCGCCTCCCCAATTCTTCATCATTACTGCACTCCGCCTCCCCAATTCTTCATCATTACTGCACTCCGCCTCCCCAATTCTTCATCATTACTGCACTCCGCCTCCCCAATTCTTCATCATTACTGCACTCCGCCTCCCCAATTCTTCATCATTACTGCACTCCGCCTCCCCAATTCTTCATCATTACTGCACTCCGCCTCCCCAATTCTTCATCATTACTGCACTCCGCCTCCCCAATTCTTCATCATTACTGCACTCCGCCTCCCCAATTCTTCATCATTACTGCACTCCGCCTCCCCAATTCTTCATCATTACTGCACTCCGCCTCCCCAATTCTTCATCATTACTGCACTCCGCCTCCCCAATTCTTCATCATTACTGCACTCCGCCTCCCCAATTCTTCATCATTACTGCACTCCGCCTCCCCAATTCTTCATCATTACTGCACTCCGCCTCCCCAATTCTTCATCATTACTGCACTCCGCCTCCCCAATTCTTCATCATTACTGCACTCCGCCTCCCCAATTCTTCATCATTACTGCACTCCGCCTCCCCAATTCTTCATCATTACTGCACTCCGCCTCCCCAATTCTTCATCATTACTGCACTCCGCCTCCCCAATTCTTCATCATTACTGCACTCCGCCTCCCCAATTCTTCATCATTACTGCACTCCGCCTCCCCAATTCTTCATCATTACTGCACTCCGCCTCCCCAATTCTTCATCATTACTGCACTCCGCCTCCCCAATTCTTCATCATTACTGCACTCCGCCTCCCCAATTCTTCATCATTACTGCACTCCGCCTCCCCAATTCTTCATCATTACTGCACTCCGCCTCCCCAATTCTTCATCATTACTGCACTCCGCCTCCCCAATTCTTCATCATTACTGCACTCCGCCTCCCCAATTCTTCATCATTACTGCACTCCGCCTCCCCAATTCTTCATCATTACTGCACTCCGCCTCCCCAATTCTTCATCATTACTGCACTCCGCCTCCCCAATTCTTCATCATTACTGCACTCCGCCTCCCCAATTCTTCATCATTACTGCACTCCGCCTCCCCAATTCTTCATCATTACTGCACTCCTCATCCCCAATTCTTCATCATTACTGCACTTCGCATTCCCAATTCTTCATTACTACTGCCCTCCGCATCCCCAATTCTTCATCATTACTGCACTCCTCATCCCCAATTCTTCATCATTACTGCACTCCGCCTCCCCAATTCTTCATTACTACTGCCCTCCGCCTCCCCAATTCTTCATCATTACTGCACTCCGCATCCCCAATTCTTCATCACTACTGCACTCCTCATCCCCAATTCTTCATCACTACTGCACTCCTCCTCCCCAATTCTTCACCACTACTGCACTCCTCCTCCCCAATTCTTCATCACTACTGCCCTCCTCCTACCCTATTATTCACCTCTACTGCCAACTACTGCACTCCTCCTCCCCAATTCTTCATCACTACTGCCAACTACTGCACTCCTCCTCCCCAAGTCTCCATCACTACAGCCAACTACTGCACTCCTCATCCCCAATTCTTCATCACTACTGCCCTCGTCATCACAACTGCACTCCTCATCCCCAATTCTTCATCACTACTGCACTCCTCATCCCCAAAATTTCATCACTACTGCATTCCTCATCACCACTACTAACTACTGCACTCCTCATCCCCAATTCTTCATCACTACTGCTAACCACTGCACACTCCAGGTGATAAAGCATCCATTGTATTCCATCATCCTATACTGTAAGGCAGTGCAGCGATCAGCAAAGACGCTCCAAGGGCTGTAACCCCCAGCAACGAATCTGAAATCTGGCTGGACCCCAAGAAACTAAATTGACCGGTTGCCACGGGTGACAGCAAGCTCAATATCACTGTTGCCCCTGCAAACGAACCCCGGTCATGCCTTCCCCCAACCCAAAAGATAAAATTACCTAATGAAGGTGGTCTTCCCCGTGGAGTATTGACCCACCAGCAGCACCATGGGCTTGTTATCGAAGTCGGCGTCCTCCAGCGCTGGCGAATGGAACTCGTGGAACTTGTAGTACTCCTCCAGGGGGAGGAGCTTAGTCTTGTAAAGCTTCTTGAGCCCATCGCTGACCGTCTGGAAGACCTCGGGGTCCTTCTTCCTCCGGTCATCGCTCCCCAGCCAGCTGAACATGCTGGCGCAGGCAAGAGCAAAAAAAAAAAAAAGGATCAAAATTTAAAAAAATTAAAATAATAAAAATTCAATTTCAGCAGCAGAAATAAAATCAATTGCCACTGATTTTGCAATAATGCAGATCAGTCTGTGCAGGTCCAATGCTGCAGCCTGGTGATGGTGCACAGATTATAAATCAGAATCTTTGATTTTTTTTGTTGCTGGAAGGTGATGAAGGGCAATCACTGACAATGATTAGGTAGGAGAACCATGAAGAACGCCGCTCCTCCGGCTCTGGGCTGCTGCTGATGATGGGAGGCCAGGGCACAGGATCCAAAGATGCACATCAGCCTTTTCCAGCTGGATTTAAATGCCAGCAACCCAGGAAACTGATGTACACCGGAAGTTCCCATCTCCTGGCAAGCCGCCCCCCAGCCGTGAGCACGGGGTGAAGCCGAAGAGGGCGGGGCTACGCTGGGTGGATGAGCCGCTGTCAGATCCCTAGCACTGCAGTGAAGGGGCGGGGCTTGTCCAGCCCTCCTCTGCCTGCCGTCTGCCTGTGTCGCGCTGACATCTAGCGGCCGCCGGCGGTAATACCGCCCACCTTTGCTGTTCTAAATTTAGCCCCCCTGCTAAAAATAACCGGCAACGTCATCGATTGTTTCTTAGCTGATGTGAGAATATATGTCATCATGGGTCTAACAGCCCAATTATGACCGCCCTGGGGTAATTAGGTGTAATAACCCATTGCAGGCAGGTTGCAGTGCATAGCCATGGAGCATACAATACTGGAAATTACCATGTGGTTAAAGCTCACCCTACACCTTACAATCTGATTGTACAATTTCCTTAAAGCTTGCCGCACATGTTACAATCTGATTGTACAATCTCTGCCTAAATTTGATTGTTTGGTCAGATTGTAACATGTATGGTGACCCCCTTAGATCTACCAAGACTATATAGTGCAGTGGATAGGCAACCTTGGCCCTGCAGCTGTTGTGGAACTACAAGTCCCATGAGGCATTGCAAGACTGAGCCACAGGCGTGACTCCAAGAGGCAGAAGCATGCTGGGGTTTGTAGTTTCAGCAAAGCTGTAACGCTGAGGTTGCCTGAACCAAGTATAATGCAAGGATCTGCCTGATTAGATGCAGATTACTTGGGTAGTTTAGTTCAGTTCCCCATAGAACACAGTTTTGGTAAACCTAAAGTTCATCCTACAAAGATTGTATGGCCAGATTGAAGTGTATGGTGACCCTAAAGCTGATCATACACTATACAATCTGTACAATCTACCACCAGGGATTTCCCTGACTTAGGAGGGATTTCCTCTCACTTCCTGTTGTGGCTATCGGGCAGGAAGTGAAGGGAAATCTCCCAAACAGGACACAGACAGTAAAATAAAAGCTGTCAGGGGTACAGGGAATGCGCGCTGCATCCGATGCCCATTGATTTCAATAGGTGTTACATGCACGACAAACAAGGGAAAGTAGCTCATGCAGCAGATTCTGCTACAGGCATGCCGCGTTTTTTCCCCGCATGCGTTCTAACGCGTCCATGCATTTCCGGTTTTCCTGGCTGCGTTTTGGGTGCCAGTAACAAGTCATGGCGCTGCAGACGTGTTGCACAGTTTTTGACACGTTTCCGTGACGCGCATTTGTTGATGTTGTTGATGTTTCTATCTCCGTAGGCACTGAAATAGATATGTTCCATTCAGATAGGAGCTTGACACCAGATTCAACGGAGGCGACAGGGTAAGTTTTCCCAGGGTAAGATGAGCAGCTTGGCGGGGAATCCTCATTTATAGAGGATACGATGTTGACGAAGAGCCACAGAAATGGGTGAGAGCTTGCGGCAATTAGCAGTTGTCTGTTGAGACAAATCAGCATGTAGAGAAATGCCGCTGAACTGAGGTGGTAATTCAGATTGAGACTTCGCGGCCGCCGTTGCTCTTTCTTTGGTGTGGTAAAAGTTAACTCGGGCCAGGACATCTCTAGGAACCGTGTCAGGTAAAAAAGAGGGTTTAACGATCCTGTGTGCTCGGTCAATAACGAGGTCTTGATCCGATGCGTCTGGAATAAGTCCTTTTAGAAGCTGAGTAATAAACTGTGGAAGCTGATTAGAGGTGATGTTTTCAGGAATACCTCTGAATTTTATGTTGTTGCGTCTCGCACGGTCTTCCAGATCAGCGCACTTTAATTTGAGCCAGGGGCGTCCCGAGGCTGGGTGACACCCGGAGCGGTAACCGAGTGTCAACCCGCCGAGACGTCATCGTGCATGTGCGGCAGTCTTCTGAGAGGAGGGGACAGTCATCCGGCGGCAGGATAAGGTATGCGCCGTGTCCCCTACTCTCTCCTGATACGGTCCATGACCGAGCGCCCGACTTTTCAGAGGGGGGTGACACCAAAATGACTGAGTCATTTTGGTGTCACCCCTCCAATGGTGTCACCCGGGTGCGGGCCGCGCCCCGCTTGTGACGCCACTGATTTGAGCCATTGAATTTCAGAGGCATGTGCTTCAAAATGGTCCACCAGAGAGTTGTGGCCCTTAGAGAGATCCGTTATTCTATTCTCAGTGCGTCACACTCGTGTGGTCAGAAGCTGCATGGATAGTGACAGCTTATCAAACATGACTGACATGTCTTGTTGCAGGGAGGAACGCAGTGAAAGGAGCATATCCTTCATATCAGCAGATGAAGCAGGTTGTGCAGTGGAAGGATACATTTCCAGAGCAGGAGCAGGGGATTGTAGTTGATTTTGTACAATTGCTGAGGCCAGGGCCGTCTTTAATACTGATTGGACCCTGGGCAAACATTTTCTTGGGCCCCCCACTAAGGCCTCTCCCCACCGATCAGCCATCCTGAAGTGACAGCGCTCCTAGTACTATGTGTCCCCAGTTATGAATGAACAGGAAGTGCTTTACATCACATCCTGCTCATTCATGACTTTCTCAATGGGTGGAAGCACTCACTATAGAGGCTTCTACCCATTGATAAATGGATGATAGTAAAACATTTACTATCACCAGTTTCTGAATGAATGGGCAGCCTCTGTACACCAAACATGTTTTCATTCGTTTTGTCAACCGAAACACATTTTTAGGCTATTATGGATTTCGCCATCAGCGCATTCTGCATCCATCTCGGAGGCAGAAGGCATGACGTCACATGCCGTGTGTGCGGCACGTTGGGTGACATCACACGTTGGGGGGCACAATTTTCTGTTCTTGCCTCGGGTGCAAAAGGAGCTAGCTGTGGCTCAGGCAAGGGTTAAGACAAGGTCTGCTTTAAAGGAGAACTATGAGGGGCGTGCTTTTCACTCATCCTCATAGTTCTAGCCGACCTGTGACAATGAGACTATCACAGGTCGGCTTAGTAGATCGGGAGGTGAGCGAACACATACCGGCGTTCGCTCACCTCTCGATCCTGTCACAGTGTCGTGGGACCAGGGGTGCCCTCTCGCCTGGGGTCCGGCGGGTGTGACAGAGATCGTAGGGTCCTTATTGGGGTGAATTGGTGCCCGGCGGCATGCTGCATGTTTGCACATGAGCACATGCATGACATGCGTGCGTGACGTGCGCATATGGCAGTGCCGTGGCTTATTAGTTGCTTCGGGTGCTGGTCATTGCCAGGGAGGGCCTTGCGAGCACTCCTCTCCCAGCCGTCCCATTGGTTCGCAGGGACCTGTGGCTTCCTGTTGCCCAGACAACGGGGGCATCGCTGGCCCCTGCTGGGTTTAAATTCCAGCCAGAGCCAAGACTTGTTGCTGAGTTATTCTGCCATTCCCTAAGCAGCTACAACGCCTCCTTTCCTGTTTCCTGCCTCCGTTCCCTGCTATTCGGATTTCCTGGTTATCGACCCCTGGCTTGCCTCACCGTTTATGATACTCGCTGCCTGCCTCGACCCGGACTGTACTCTGACAACGCATTTTGGATTATCCTTTCTTGTACCTCAGCCTTGACTCTCCTTCTGGGATTGTTCCCTGCTATTGGGTTCCAATCCAGCAAACAGGGGGACTTCGCTCCTTCCCTAACACACGGCTCTCTGCCGTGACAGGGGAGGGGCTTGATTCCCCCTTCCCCACTCCGATCCGCCAGCGCTGACTGGCAGAACGGACGGGGAGGGGGCGGGTACAGCTGGCTCTGCCTGTAGATAGGCAGAGCCAGCTGTCAGTCACGAACCTGGGCAGATCCCGGCATAATTGTCGGGATCCGCTTCAGCTGTGACGTCTCAGTACACCGCAAACTACAGCTCGCGGTATACTGAGCCTAGGGTGACGGGAGGACGCTAGTTTGTGTCCTCCCGTTACCCTAAGGAGAACTATGGGGAGAAGCCTTAACCCCATAGTTCTCCTTTAAAGTGACATTAAAGTCAAAAATATTTTTCCCTCCCCCCAATTTTAATTATAGCACTTACCTTAACTGATGTTTCTTAATCCGATCTTTTTCTTCTTTCCTGTTGTTTTCATCTGTCCCTCCAGCGCTGCTGCGGGTCTCTGATCCAGCGCTGTCTCCTAGCAGAACATAACTGATGACTGATGTCCACATTCCTAATGGTCATCCGGTCTGTAATCATGTATGTAGTCCGGCATGTGCTGCACGGTGAACTGCAGTAACACGCCTGTAGAGTTCAGCCTGCTCCGTACTACACATTCTTCTTTCCACAGTCAGCGCTTCGTCCCGTAATTAAGGCATCCCGAGCTCAATGTCTTCACGTGGAGGACAATTGTATCACTTTCTACAAATTATTATTTACTGACTGCTGTACAATTCTGAACATCGCCTGGAGCTGCTGACAGACAATTATTACACAGAGCCACAAGATTTAATGAAGCCAGCATTTCTTGTAGCTTGGAATGATAATGTATATTATTTCTCCTCTTCATAGGAAGCTAAAGCGTATGTTTGTGAGCACATGATCACTGACATTTTTATTACATTTAACTTAAACCCTTCAGGCCTGGAGCTCATTGGATCCTAAATACCCAGAGGATCATTTGACAATAAATCTACTTTGCGTACTTAAATAATTGTTA